TTTTTCTCCGGTACCGGGAACCGAACTCACAACCTTGCGCTTGCCAGGCAGGCGCTTTGCCGCTGAGCTAAATCCCCAGCCCCAGTCTGAGCTCTTTTAAAAGCTGTTTTGATGTGACTTTCATGGTTGTATCTCCTGACTGGGAAAATACTTGATGAGAAGTACATGTACTCACTCTTGAGTCTCTGTCACCTGGACTAAAAACTTCACAAGGTGCTGGGTATTGTTCAGGCTTCGCTTGAGCTGCCATTGTTTGGACACATTTTCAGGGTTAATTTTTTTAGTTTAATTTTTATAGAAAATGACTGTAATAACCTATTTGATTTAAAGATCTTGTACCTCCTCCACACTGTTATTAGTAACATTAGATTTTGGTGAACACTGTTGGAGATGTGCAACATCTCATTTATCCCAGCATGTGTCCGGGAGGCAGAGTTTAAAAGATAAGCTTGTTATACTGGGTCCTTATCATGTTATCATTTACCTCTTAGATCAGTGGAATTTTAAAGAAAATGCTTAGTTATATTTGAGTCTGTTTTAGTGAATTAGATATAATTTAGTCTTAAGATTTCCCCACTTTTGAAATTTTAAGCGCAAAGTGTATGGCAGATGTAAAGGTCTGTAATCTGGTGATTATGGGTGAGGTGATTTGTGATCCGTTCTGTAAGCCTAGAAGATTGAGTTTTAGGCCCTGTCCTCTTGGTTAAATCTCTCTCACCAGCCAGTGCGTGCCTGGGAATTTAAGATGGGTATTTTCTCTTCTTCAGCCGTGCCAGTTTGAACAGTGCATCGTGCACTCGCTGCAGTCACTGAAAGGAGTTTTGGAGTGTAAGCCTGGAGAAGCCAGTGTGAGTTGCTATCCCAGATCTCCCCACAGTCCTTCCTTGGAACCACCTTTGCAGTCACCAGTGTACAAGAGTTTTGTAATCTTACTGCCCATGGGTCTCATTTAGTGTAACAACATGGACAGAGCCCCTTGGGGCCAGTGCTTTGTGTACAGGGGGGAGCACTGACTGGTGTTGAGCATTAGCCTGCTTTTCCCAAGCCGGAGACCACTGTGAGGCTGCCCATGACCCCAGCAGTTTTCTATTTTATTTCTAACTCCAGGAGCAAAATGTTTGGTTTTATTAGCAAAGTCCAAAAATCCTGTTCAAAATTTTTCCTCGTAGGTCTTTCAACAACCTAAAACGCAGGAGGAAGTTTGTCAGCTAAGCATCAGCATCATGCAGGTAACCCGGGGCAGCAGCGCTGTCCAAAGCCTGAAGTTCAGAGTTTCTCTGTCAGCCTCCTCCTGTGTATAAAATGTGTGAAATGTGGGCTCTTTTTAGCCTTACCTGTAATAGCTTTGGGTAATAGGGCAATACAGGTAGTGTAATGTTAATTCCCGTTTGCTTAGCAGTGCCCAAATACTGCATTTATAGTATGTTTCCCTTTCTTGTGTTTCCATGGTACTTCCATTAGACAACAAAGTAAATTAAATGACAGTTGTTTCTGTTTTATTTAAAGTTTTCCTTATGAGGACCAGTGCTTTCTGGATACGTAAAGATGCACATGTTAGTGAGTAGATAAAGAAAAAGAAATTTTTTTCCAATATTCAAGAAAAATTTTTTTTTTGGTGGTACTGGTGATTGAATCCAGAACCTTTAGCTGAGCTACATCCCCACCCCTTTTTATTTTTAAATCTTTAATTTAATTTTATTTTACTTTTGAGACAAGGTCTCACTGAGTTGTCCAGGCTGGGTTCAAGCTTGTGATCCTCCTCCCTCAGTTTCTCAGATAGCCAGGTTACAGACATGCACCCCCACACCTGGCTAACAACTTAATAATTGATCAGAATATAAATGCTCTTAATTTGTGTTGCTTGTATAGTATATATGGTTGAGATATATGTTTCTACAGTTTATGTGGCATATAAATACATACATATTAATAAACCCCTTTCTTACCTTAACACTTACATGACATATAATTCTACTTTATGTAAAATAATTTTTGATGTCCCAATGGATGAATAACAGCATACATATTACTGGAACTTTTTATTTTTGACTTAGGTTTTTATATACTGCCTGGAGCAATTGAGTACCAAGCCTGACGCAGATATAGATACAACACAGTGAGTAATAATCTCATGGATGCATTTAAGAGAATTTAAAGTGCACAGTCAAATTATATATTTGGTTTTATGCCCTAAAACTTCTAGCAGGAGAGCTAGCGTGCACCCATTAAAGTCATAGTTTTATATACTTGACCTGTGTTCTTTTCATAATTTCCTAATCTTCTGAACTTAACCTTATGAGAGAGATGTTGAATGTGTTGAATGCATAATTAGTTCACTTACTTTCCTGAAGGATGGGCTGTCCAAATAGTGAAGTGCAGAACTGAAGCGTGCACCCGCATGGCTTGCTGGCATGACTCTGGTGTTAGGAAGTGGCACAGTGCCCTCGCGGAAGACGGGGTGAGGGTGGAGCGTCCTGACTCTGGGGCTTTGCCGCCGTAACAGGGACGGCAGCATAAATGTTTGTTTCCTTTTTAATCCAGTTTTTCTGAAGGACATTTGGCATGTGTAACTTTACTCTGCTTAAAATTTAGTGTGACACAGATAATACCATATGAAATAAATGCCTCTTAAATTTTTTTTCTTTTGGTACCGGGAATTGAACTCATAACCTCACAATTGCCAGGCAGGTGTTGTGCTGCTGAGCTATATCCCTGGCCCCTCTCTTAAATCTTTAATGGACAGTTTGAGGATGCTTTTATTTTTGCCTGTTTCCTAGTATTGGTTTTTGCTTTTCAGTGTATAAAACTATAACCTCTCTAGAGACTTAGTAAGGTTTTAATTTTTTGGGTTTAGATTTGATTTTACATGTTTGGGTTATTAATCTACCAGAATTTAGAGTGTTAATCAGAACTTTGATGTTAATTAAATGTCTTTTTCTTGTTGCTTTGTTACAATTTCTGTTCCAGACATCACTGATTTTTGTTGTATGCTGCAGTGTATTTCTGAACTTCCATTCTGTTTATGCCAATGTGTGTTATAGCACTCAGTGCTATTTCAATATTTTTCAGATTGCCACCCTTTTGTTACCTCTATATTTGAAATGATTTATGTAATTCTTTATGAATTTTAAAGTCAGTCAAGTTTAAAGAATTAAGCCATGCTGGAGTGTTTATTATGACTCCTGTATCTGTGAATTGGTGGGTTTCTTATACCCTCACCCTGCCACCAGTTTCTTTGTCTCCAGTCGCTTGTGGTTGTCACCTAATTCCGTAACCACCTGTGTGAGGGTATTATTATGAAAGTGCGTGTGGAAAAGTCCCTGGAAATTCTGATAGGCAAAAATATGTTAATTATTTGACATTTTCCCCTCGGGTGATTTGTTTTTAAACTATATTAAGCCAGTTTTGAAGAGACCAAAAACCAGACTTTATGTATGGCCCAGTTAATAGTCCATACTGCCTTTGTTGAGCTGTACTTATTAAACATAAAAACTTAGTTGATTTTTATCAGAATGTTTTAAAATCCTATTTAGGTATAGCTCATTGTATTTTAAACTTTAGTGCTTTAACTGAAATCTTCTCTGCACAGCCTCTCTTTAGATGTTTCTTCTCCTGATTTGTTTGGAAGCACCCATGAAGACTTCAACTTGACTTCTGTAAGTGAGATCTGAAACAGAAAATAATGTGTGTCACTGTCACTGCTCGGGGACTGTTCTGTATGACTTTGGGCATTTCTGCCTCCCTGCTGTAACACATGCTGTGGAGGCTGCCTTATTCTGGGCAGCGCTGTTGTGGTGTGTGAAATTTTAGTAAGCACAAGTAATAAGGGCTCCACAGCTAGAGCTCTCACACTGGAGTCGCACTTAGTCCATCTTTGCAGGGTCTCAGGGCCCACGGGTGACTCTAGCTGCCTGGTGCTGGGATGTTGCTCTGCAGGGAGGGAGGCAAAGGGCGTGGCATTGCCCTGTGTCTCTGCCTCATCAGCCATAGGAGCTCCATCCGCTTCTGCTGCGTTCCTGTGAGTTTCCTCTATGCGTCAGTGTAGGCTCCACAGCCAGAACAGTTGGATCACCACATAGCCACACAGAAACACTTCAGGTGTATATACGTATATTTTATATTTTATATGCAGACTTTATTTATGTAATTTGTTTTTATTTTATATGTATACATTTTATGTTTCTATGTGTTGTGTATATTCACTGTGTATGCATATGTATATTTTTAACATGTACATGTATTTAGGGATGATTTACGTACATTTATTACCATGTTTATAAACTCAGACTTCCTTAAAGAAAATACCTTCCTCATGATGCATTGTGTATATAAATCTTTAAAAACAGATGTGTGAGCTAAGTTTCTTGCCCTATGTTACTTGCAGTTATTATGTTTATCACTATGAATTCCTAAATAATAAGTGGCTTGGTATATTAAGAAAAATATAGCTTAGTAAAAGTAATTAAAGACATTATTCTAGGTTTACTTACTTTTATGACTAGGTAGAAAACATTGCCATTCACTGAGATAAACAGCTTCTAAAGAAACAGTGAACACTCAGTTAGGGGCTAGGCTTGTGGAATCAGTGCCACTCTGGCGGCAGTATCTACTGAGTGAGTGGACGTACTTGTCTGGATCCCAGGAGGGGAACCACACGGGGCTGTCAGTCAGCTGCACGTATGTGCCAGTAGGAGGCCTCCAGTACATGAGAACACTAAGGAAAATACTAGCTGTTCTGTCCAGCTCAACTTGTGGCCGGAGTCCCCCAGAAACATATGGCAGGAGAGTTCTGGCAGGGTGTTGCCCCAGCTGTCCTGAGATGGGGCCAGTTGGGACTCCGCAGAAAGGAGCACTGAATGCCAGGGTGATGAGTCCAAAGCATTTGGGGCATGTGTCCTGAGGGGCTGCCGTGCTTTCTATCTATGGACAGTGGCCTGCTGGATGAAGCTGCCTGCAGAGATGGCCTCCATGCTGAGGTCCAGGTTCCGGGCAGCTCATGGCTCCATGCACACAGCTGGCTTCTGCCAGCACTGCAGCAGCAGCCCAGGCAGCATGCACAGTCAAACCCTGTGTGGAGGGCCGGGGCCTTACACTCACACAGCGAGAGAAGGGGGCCACCATTAGAAATGAGAATGGGGATGTAGTTTGGGGATGGCTAGGCATCGAGGCCTCTGTGCTTTCTGAAGAGGAAACCCCAGTAGAGCAGAATTCCTGGGAGAAATGAAAGAGAGCCTCCCAGAGGAGTGCTGAGCAACTGGGCTGAGCAGGGCCAGCGTGACAGGCAGGGGCTGGACTGTGGGCACCACAAGCGACTGTCCTCAAAGAGCAGAGTCGTGAGGACGAGGGAGGCCATGCAGTGTGCTTTCCTGGGACACAGATGGGAGAGCTGTTAGGCCAGGGCTGAGAGAAAGCTCCTTTGAAGTGGAGAAAGACCTTCAGCTGCAGGGCACTGTGCCTTTTCTCAGGCTTTCAGAACCAGCCCAGCTCAACTGGGGGCACTGCTTCGGGATGTGGAGGAGCAGCTGTGTGCCAGGCTGACCGGCTCCTGACACCTGCTGGGCATTTGTTGTGCCCCCTGCTGTGCAGGTCCTGCCTGAGCCTGGCCTGAGCCTGCCCTGTTCCTCATCCAAGGGAGAGAGGAGCATGGGGCCCCTAGGCCACAGCACCCTGAGGATGCCCTCTGGCCCTGCTCTCAGTGGCCCTGAAGCTGCTCAGAACCTCCACTTGCCACAGTACCCAGCTGCTGTCCCGCTTCACTCTCCGGAAGTTTTCCTCTGTCGGCAAGCACAGATCCTGCTTCCTGAAGATGACTGGCCAGATCCAGCCCACTTCCCTCCAGCTGAGATCTCATGCTCTATGTCATCCAGTAGGGCAGCAGCTAGGGGAAGGCAGAGATCCAGGTTGGAGAGAGCGGGTGCCCCTTCCGTGTGACCATGGCTGTGTCAGCCTGCATGTCCTGGACCACAGAGAGGTGACACGACACACGTGTTTCTTCATGTGCAATGCTGTGTTCAGTCAGTGATCTCCACCTGAGGTGGTAATCAGCTTTTGATTAATCACCCGGCTTTAGCATTTGTGATGTTCACTTGTTCTTCCACTTCGATTTCATCTCATCAGTTAGACTTGACCAAAAAACACACTAACAGTGAGGCTTGAGAGCACTCCTGTGGTTTCTGTTTTGAAAGGAATCTTGCACATTTCAGGGTTACGTGGAGACACTAAATCAGATCTTCTCTGCCAGCAGGCTTGGTCTGCTAGGTAAGGAGGGCTGACTCCGGGAGGAAAAAGGAACTCTTTCAGAAACCAGGCAAGATCTTTGAGGAATGTGGTATCACTGATGGGAAGTCTGTGTACTTGCATGAAAAGGATTGCCTAATGATGGTAACTCCAGGCTTTGGGCCAGAGGGAAACGCAGCCTTGCCACCCCAGCTGTGCACGGGCCAATTTGCACATTGGCCCACTGCTTTCTCTCTTGCATCTCTCCTGCCCTTTACTCCCTCAGTGTAGAGAAGGGGTACTGTCCATCATGAAACTCCGCTGGCCTTGCTTTGTATTCCTTGCCTCATCCACAGATTAATTCAGGGCTGCTGGCAACTTTTGACTCCTTTAGAGTTACAGGACTTTGATAATTCTTTGACTGTTTGTTTGTAATTGTTAACCAAAAAGGGCAGAGACTGGGCTGTACTCTTCCATAAATAAAGAAAGGAACATCTTAAGTAAAGAGGTATAGGTCTTGGGACATTTGACTCAATACTGAGCTCAGTTAAAATTGAGCTAAATTACTGGGAAATTGTTGGAAGATGTAGGATTTGCTTGGCATGGAGCTCAGACTCTAGTTCTTCTTTAGGCCAGATACACCTGAAAGAACAGGAACCTTTCTGTTTCCTCATTTTCTAGACTGAACTACTTTCTTGTGGGCTATTTTAAGTCTGTACAGAAAGAATAAGCCAAGCATGGGCGAGAACTTTTCCTGGAAAGTGGCTTAACCTTAGTTTTAGTAAAGGGTCTGAGTAAAGGCCCTGGATGAGTCACAGCTGTTCCAGAGAATGCTGTTGGAGCTACCCATGCCTAGGCAGACCGCAGCAGCAGCAGCAGCAGCAGCAGCAGCAGCAGCAGCAAGGGCCATTCTTGGAATTTTATTTACAAAAATAGTTCTTCTGAACTGTAAAAGGGTACGGTATTCACCAGCCTTGGGGGCTGATCATTCTTAAATTAGGCAGACAGAAGCCTGGCAAATGTAGCAGCAAGTGGGGTTCTGCTTCTTGGCTACCCAGCCACTTCCTGTGCTGAGCCACTGGCCACTGGGACTCCCACTCCCTTTGGGAAAGAAGCTGTTTCTACCGCCAGAACATTCTAGAAGGCCTAATGCTTTAAAAGACCCATCAAACATACTAATATGTAAGGTCATTCTCTTCCAAGTTAAGAAAAAATTATAGATTATTTTCTAATAATTTCTACACTTTCTACAATTGGTTATTTAAAATAGCCACTTGTGTACATAAAATATTAGAGGAAACATTATTGGATCCTGTTGTTTTCTGGTGCTGGAGATGGAGGCTTGTGCGTGGTAGGCCAGTGCTCTGCTGTGGAGCTGCGGGCCTGGCCCCTATTTGATTCTTCTGTGTCTTATGTAAAAGTGAACAATGTGTAGAAATGTGAAATTTGTTTATGTTTCTGTTTGTGTTAGGAAAGAAGCGGTAAAGAAAAGCCAAGCATTGAATATTAATATTAAAGATCAGAAGATTATAATTGAACTGAATAGTTGAGAGCACTGGACATGTGTTCCTCTAAATTAATTTTCTCAACATTTGTTTTGCTTTCAGGAACAGCGACTTTTGATAGTCCTGAGTAACTGCTGCTATCTAGAACGTCGCACTTTCCTGAATATAGCAGAATATTTTGAAAAGCACAACTTCCAGGGAATAGAAAAGATGACACAGGTGAGTAAATTCTTCTAACTGCACAGGTGGTGGTTTCACTGGCTCAGCCATTTGTCCACCTTAGCTTCCAGGTTGTTTGCCCAGTGAGTGTTTGGGCCACTTCCCCATGCTGCTTCCCTCTCCTGGCCCCAACACAGGCCGACTTTGCCTGATCCCTTCATCTCCTGCCTCACCTCAGCGGCTCACACTCCCCGCGCTTGTCCAGTGAGCGTTCCCCCAGGGTTAGAGCTGGTATGTTCTCTTTCAAGCTGTCTGAGACTCAGGAAGCAAAGGCCAGTCTCAAACTTAGATCCTGAGAAATCAAATTTGACTTCTTTTAGATTTAAGCTTTACACACAGCCACCCATACCCTGCGGGGCTGCTGAGAGCCTGAGAAAAACCTCCTCCTGCTGCTCCTCACCTCTCCCTTCCTTCCTTCCCATGTGACCACAGCAGTGCTTTGGCTGTACTTAGGCATGTGCGTGTACATGCACACACGGACACATATGCACAAATGCACACACAGGTACTCAGTTCACAGCAGCTACAAGATGCTTGGAAATCTACCTGAAAAGTACATACCCTCCACTGTCTGGTCACTGGATATAGCAAGGTTGGGTAAAAATAAGTCCTATACAGGTCAATGGAGTAGGATTTTTAAATAATGTTATCTCGGGGCTGGGGATTTAGCTCAGTGGCACAGCGCCTGCCCGGCAAGCGCAAGGTCGTGAGTTCAATCCCTGGTACCAGAAAAAAAAGCCAAAAAAAAAAATAATAATAATAATGTTATCTCTTGTTTATATTTTTTTCAAGTAAGTAGAAAAGGAAAAAAAAAAAAGGAAGTAATCTTCCTGGGCAAAGGTTTATCAGATTTCTAAGAAATACTATGCTAGAACCACTTGAATGTCAGTACACTTTTCTCAATGCAAAGATTCAGAAAGATAATGACCTTGTTAATCATATAATCAAAGTTTACTCTTGGTGGATTACATACTTTTTATAAATGATGGTTCTAGTTCATGAACTAGATAGGGATTTTTTTTTTTTTCAAAGAATGAAAATGTCAGAGTGGGTGGCTCTGTCTTGTTTTCCTGCCTTTTTGTAAAGATTAATCATTCTGATGAGAAATGTTGTGACTTAGGCTTTAGAGCCAAATGTGTGGTTTATTTCCAGAAATTCTTAAGCTGAGAGTTGCAAGATGGTGTCTTACAATAAAAGGTACTATTTGTAGAAAGTGAGCACTTCGATTTTATACAAGGACAATAATGATGTGAATATTTTTATGAGAGAATTTAGCATTTAAAATATATGAGATGATTAAAAATTACATATTAGAAGCAATAAGTTTGATTTTTCTCTAGGTTTTTGTGACTAAGGGACTTTTTGTTGCATCAGTTTATATCATTAAGAAAGAATGAAATTGACATAAAAAGATTTTTTTTAAATATCTTTCTCAATCTATCCAGATCATTTTGAGAAAAATAATATATAGGATCTGGAGTTGCAACTTAGAATACATGGCAGGTTGTCTTTTTCCCATCGAGAATTTAGATTGTTTTTAACAGACCATCTTGAATATTTTGAAATTATTTAATTGTGATTGAAATGGATGCTAAAAGAAATAGATATTACAGCATTTGTGGTGATTCTATTTGCTATATGTGCATCCATTAGTTTCATGATGCCAACCAAGTAGAACATATCTTACATACAGGAAAAAAGTTACCACCTGGTCCTGTCTTTGATGCGTAGTTCCTTTTTCAAGTGGCAGATTCCTCTAGAGGCATCACAGGTACTGACCACAGCTGATGGCTGCACTTTGTCCCTCTCAGTGTTTTTGCACATGGCGAGCATGGACCCCTAAACGGCTTCTCACACGTCAACACTGGACACTGGATGTTTTCTCAGGCCTCCTTTTATGAGGGCTTATTGTTGGCTAGGGCTTTCCTTAGCTGTTTTCTTCCTTAGATTTTTTGTTTCTTTTCCCTTTTCCTTTCCAGAATGGGCATCTCAGTTGCAGTGAGAGTGTTCCACTTTGTCCATGTCCTCACCAGCAGTGAGTGCTACCATTCTTTGTGTATTTGTCCATCTTACTGTAGCTTTAATTGGCCTTCCCTGATAAATAATGGCATTGGACACATTTTCTTATACCTTCATGTATTTTCTGTTTACAAGGCAGTGTTCATCTCTTTAGCTCATTTCCACATTGGGTTGTTCATCTGTCTAGTAGTGATTTTTAGAAGTCTTGTGAAAAAGGTCCTTTTTCACATGTTTTACTTTTTTTTCCTGACTTGCTTGCCATTTTGTATTTATAATGATATCCTTTGGGTAGAAATTTTTAATGTTAAGATCATTTGTCAGTTTTATATATGCTGTATGTATTATTTTTATATGTTTTCAAAGTCTTTCCCTGTTTCATTATCCTAAATATATTTTTCCAGAGGCCTCCTAATGTTTACTTTTGTGTTTAGAGCTATAATCTAACTTTTACTAAGTTTTTCTATATTAAGCAAAGGGCTAAGGTTCCTTCTGCTTTTCATACAAGTACTACCTTGTCCCATTACAATGTATTGAAGAATCTTTCTTTTCTCATTGAATTTCATTGGTGCCTTTGTCAAAAACTCAGAAAATCAAGTGTGATTGGCTTTGTGCTGGGCTTCTCCTTCTGGTCTGCCTTTGTCAGCATTGCATTGTGTTACTTACTATAGCTCTACAGTAAGTCGTGAAATCATGTAGGTTGAGTCTTCCAACTTTGTTCTTGTCGAATTTTCTTGGTTGTATATAGTAAGATCCTTTCTGTTTATGTATAAATTTTAGGATTAGCCTGTGAAATTTTACCAAATAAAGACCTTTTAAAAATTCATTGAATTTGAGGAAGATTAATAGTATCAGTTTTTCCTATGTATGTATTTTTTTAGAACATCTTAAATTACTTTAGCAGCATTTTGTTTTCAACAGAATTTTGTGTATCTTTCAAAAAGCTTATTCTTAGTTTTTTGATGCTAATATAATTGATAATATGTTGTAATTATTTGACTAGTAAATAAAATTATAACTGATTTTTTGGGAATTTTTTATTAGCATGTGTTTGTGGTTGGTATATAGTGAATACATTCATTGTTGGTACTTGATACTTGTACATGACACATCTTGACCTTTTTTTTGTTTCCTTTCCTCTGCTTCTCCCTCTTGACATCTTTTGGTCCCCTCCATTTAAAACACTTTCCCTGTCTCCTAGTATGTACTTTTTATTTTGCTATTTATACTGCTGTGAACATGGATATATATGTTTTTAACTCTTTGAGGAAGATTGCCTAGAAGGGGAATAGCTGGATCAGATGGAAATTCCAGTGTCAGTTTTTGAGGAATGTCCATTCTGATCACCATAGTGGTTCTACTGATTTACAGTTCTTAACCCGTAGAAGGGCTCCTTTCTCCCCTCATCTTTGCCAGCATTTGTTATTGTTTAATTTCTTGATGCTAATAGCATTCTTTCTGGAGTAAGATATAACCTCAGTGTTTTTTTTAAACTGCGTTTCTCTAATGGCTGGCAACACTGAGCATTTCTTTATGTATTTATTGGCCATTTGTACTTCTAAGAAGCATCTGTTCACGTTAGTTGTCCAATTTTTGATTGGTTCTTTTATTTTGGGGAGTCTAATTTTTTTTGAGTTCTTTATATATTTTCAATATTAGTCCTCTGTCTGAGAAGTAGCTGGCAAAAATTCTTTCCCATTCTGTAGGTTGTTTCTTCACTCTGTTGGTTGTTTCCTTTCTTGTGGAGGAGCTTTTTAATGTGATATGATCCCATTTGTTGATTCTTGGTACTATTCTCCATGCAAACCAGTGTCTTGTTCAGAAAGTGTTTGTCTATGCTTGTGACTTCAAGAGTTTTACCTATTTTGTCTTGTAGTACGTTCAGTGTTTCTATTTTAACATTTAAATCTTTGATCCATTTTAATTTTAGTTTGGTACATGGTGAGATACTTGATTCAATCTTCTGCTTGTGGATAGCCAGGTATTCCAGCAATATTTTTTCCAGAGTCTCTCTGCATATGTTTTTGACCCCTTTATCAAATGACTATATGTGCTTGGGGTTGTTGCTGCCTCCTCTGTTCTGTCCCATTGATCCACATACCTGTTTTTGTGCTAGTACTGTGTTCTTTTAATCACTTCAGCTTTGTGAAATAACTTCATAACTGGAATTGTGATGCCTCCCACTTTGCTTTTATTGCTCAGCATTGTTTTTGTTATTCTGGATCTCTTCTGGTTCCATGTGAATTTCAGAATTGTTTTCTCCAGTTCTGTGGAGAATGCAATTGGTATTTTGGTTTAGATTGCATTAGGTCTGTTTAAAAGTTTTGGAAGTATGGACATTTTGACTCTTACTAGTCTGCCTATCCATGAATATGGGATATCTTTCCATTTCTGATGACCTCTTTGATCTCCTTTTTCAGGATCCCATACTTTTCACTGTAAAGGTCTTTCATTTCTCTAGTTAAATTAATTCTTCAATGTTGGGGCTGGGGATTTAGCTCAGCAGCAAAGCGCCTGCCTGGCAAGCGCAAGGTCGTGAGTTCGGTTCCCGGTACCGGAGAAAAAAACAAAAAAACAAGAAAAACAAAAAAAAAATTCTTCAATGTTTAATTTTCCTTGGTGCTATTATAAATGGTATTTTTTCCCAATTTCTTTTTCATTGGGTTCATTGTTAGTGTACAAGAATTCTGTTGGGTTTTGTGCATTAATTTTGGGTCCTGCTACATTGCTGAATTTGGTTATTAACTCTAGGAATCTTTGGGTAGATTTTTTTGAGTCTTCTATATAGAGGATCATGTCATCTGCAAGTAATTTGATAGTTTGACTTCTTCCTTTCATATATATATTTCTTTTTCTTGACTATTGCTCTTGATAATGTTTCAAGTACTGTGTTAAGCAGAAGTGGTGGTAGTGGACATCTTCGTCTTATTCCTGATTTTAGAGCAAAAGCTTTTGGTTTTCCCCCATTAATACCATGCTGCAGTAGGTTTGTCATGAATGGTTTTTATCAGATTGAGATAAGGTCCTTTTCTACCTATTTTCTTAAGTGTTTTTTTTTTTATCATAAATGGATGTTGGATTTTGTCAAAGGCTTTTTATGCATCTATTGAGATTATCATGTGATTTTTGTCCTGTCTTCTGTTTATGCAATGTATTGCATTTAATGATTTGCTTCTATTGAACCATCTTTGCATCCCTGGAATGAAGACCACTTTGTCATCATGAATAAACATTTCAAAGACTAATTACCTTCTCTTTGCCAGTATCTTGTGGAGGATTTTTTATTTATATTCATTAAAGAGATTGCCATGCTGCTTTTTTGGTTGGATCCTTTTTTGGTTTTGGACTCAGGGTAATGCTAGTTTCTAAGAATAACTTTGGGAGTCCTCCTTCCCTTTCAGTTTCTTTAAAGAGCTTGAGGAGTATTGGTGTTAGAGACTCCCTGAATTTTTTTTTAGAATCAGCAATGATTCCATCCAGATCTTTGCTTTTCTTAATTTGTAGAATTTTTTTTAAGTTACAGTTTCTGTTTCATTGGATTATTTATTGGCTTATTCAGGCTTTATATCTTAATTCAATTTTAATAATTTATATGTATCTAGGGCCTTCTTCTGAATTCTCCAATTCATTGGTGTATAGGTTTCCAAAGTAATTGTTACTAATCTCGTGGATTTCAGCATTGTCCATTGTGATTTCACCTTTTTCATTTCTAATTTTATTGATTTGGATCTTTTCTTTCTGTTTTAGGTGAGATTATCTGAGGGTTTGTCCATTTTGTTTAGGTATCTATCTATTTTTTGAACAAGCAGCTCTTTGATTCACTGATTCTTTGTATTGTTGGGTTTTTTAGCCCCAATTTCATTGATTTCTTCTCTGATCTTTATACTTCCTTCCTTGTACTGGCTTTGGGTTTGGATTTTTCTTGTTTTCTAGGATCTTGAAGTGTATCATGGTTGTTTATGTGGGCTCACTCTGTTTTTGTGATATAAGTGAATATTCACAACTGTAAGCTTCCGTCTTAGAACTGCCATCATTGTGCCCCAAGATCAAAATAGTTGTTATGTATAGTAATTGGACTTTGAACTCTGGAAGTACTAGAAGGTGCTGTGGTGGATATTCAACATACATTTTATAGATCTTACCCCTGCTTCTTCCGTGTGCTCCTGGGAATTGAACCCAGGGCCTTTGCACTGAAGTACATCACCAGAACTATTTCTTTGGTTATTTTTGAGACAGGATCTCCTAAGTTGTCCAGGCTAAGCTCAAACTTATGATCCTCTTGCCTCAGCTTCCCAGTGTGCTGGGATTACAGGTATACATTGACACATCTGGCTAAAATTCTCCTTTGTTAAATAATCTCCTTGTCTCAAAGTTCAGGTATGTTGTGGCATTATTTTTTAGCTTTAGGAACTGTCTTATTGTTTTATCTTTTCCTTGACCCTCACCTGGGCAACTCATAGTCTTGATTCTGTGTTTCTAGGTTAGCATGGCCTCTCTGAAAGAACTTGATCAGAGACTCTTTGAGAACTACATTGAGCTGAAAGCAGATCCCATTGTCGGCTCCTTGGAACCTGGGATTTATGCGGGCTACTTTGATTGGAAAGACTGCCTGCCTCCCACAGGTAGGTGAACAGAGCCAGTAGGGTTTCCTAAGAGTTTTGTAGTGCATCAACAGTGATAAATATGAATGTACTTTACCAGCCAGTATATGCTCCAGAAGCTTCTGTTGGTATTCATGTTTTCCTCATTCCTACTGAGGGTGGGAAATTAGATTTCCTTTTGCTTCTTACTCATTTAAACACAATTTTTTGATATTTTTATTACTGATACTCAGTGGCTTAGTTATTTGTTAATTCAGAGAATCATTAACTATACCTTTATCACTATTTATCATTTTAGTAAAGCATACTTGCTTCCTTTTTTGCATAAATACAAGAGAATGAGGACTGGGGATATAGCTCAACGGCACAACGCCTGCCTGGCAAGCACAAGGTCCTGAGTTCAATTCCCAGTACCCCCCAAAAAGAGAGTGACTGTGAATGACAATTTCGTGCAGTGATCTTGTGACCAGCATCAAAACACGTATCTAAGAAATCTGGTCACTTTTGTATAAGACCAAATTATTGATACTGAGGATAGAAGGAAAAGATTGCAGTAATTCAGGAAAGAAAATTGAGCCACAGAAGAGTGACTGGCACTGTTCCAGTATTATCTTTGTAGTGATAATTGAAAGTCGCTTAAATCACATTATAATATGTATTTTTAAAATAATTATTGCTTTTGTAATCAAATAAGCGCTTTGATTGATAAATAATTTTCTCCTTTTGCAAAATATTGTGGGATGAAATACATGAGTCAAAGCTACCTGTTAAATAGAAGTATTGTTATGTAGAAGTGTCTGTTTATATTAGGCATAGGTTATACTTAGATGCATATACTTAGCTGTACCAGTAAATGGTTCTTAGGTTTGCCTTATTTTTTAGTCTTTTAACTAAAGTGTTTGCATTTGGTTTTTATTACATAATGCTTTTATTGGATGGTGATAAAGTTATTTACTACTTAGACACCTTTTTTGTTTATTGTGTAGTGATGCCAAAACCCCGAATCATTAAATTAACGTTTTATGTGGCTAGTTACTCAGTTTTCTGCGGTCATGTCACTGATAGACTTACGAGGCCTTATTCCTCCAGCAGGATGTAATTGATCTTTTTTCCCTTAAACGCTATTACTTTTCCATATTTACACTTACCTGTGTCCAAACTAGGTTTTGTTGTTGCCTTATTTTTCTGAGTGTATGTTTGCAGTGCACAATGCCTGCGTTCACCGTGAGGGTTGGGTATTGGTGCATCACACATCCTTATTCTTTTTACGCCTTACCCATCTCTAGGTTCCCTTCCCATTTGCAAAAGATCTATCTCACAGGTTCCTGAGTAATTTGACTGTTACTATCCCAAAGTAACTTGAATTGACAAAAGCAATACCTTTGATTTTGCTCTTTATAGTTTGGGTTTCTTATATAAGAGAAACTATGTGCTATTTAAACTGTGTCTGATTTATTTCATTGAATGTTATAGTCGGTTGCAAGGTGCATCCATTTTCCTACTAGGCAGTTTCTTTTTAAAACCTAAAACAGATCCACTTGGAACCTTGTTTCAAAACTCTTATAATCTGTTCACTTCAGAGAGGCAAGTCTGTGGAGTTGTGCTGTGCAAGCCTGTGCCCCAGGACCTGGCACCGCTCTCCAGCTCACTTCAGCTTGCCTGTCCTGAAGTACACATTGATTCTGTTAGCCCCTACTTGGCGCTCTCCACGGCCTGCCTTCTCCCCTCTGCTCCCTCTCCGCCACCCACTTCCTCCATTCCTGTGCTCACCTGTGCTTGCTGACCCCTGTGCCTCCAGCCACCACTGTCGGCATTCCTCACTCCTCTTCTTGTCCCCTGTGCGTTGGCAAGGGTAGTCATTTGCTGCTTCCTTGCTGGACAGCTCCCGGTGTTACACAGGGTCAACCACAGAAGATGTTTGTGCGGCTGTGTTGGTGAATGAGTCTTGTAGGTTATGTCTCAGTTTATCTTCCAAGGGTTTGCTTTGTGCTTTTACAAACTTCATTTCAATAAGAAAGTAAATCATATAATGTCCTTGTTTCTATTATTAGTCTCACTTGCTTTTTGGTAAATTAAACAGTGAATATTCATTGAGCTATGAAATGAGCATTTCGGCATTCATTTTCTTGTCTTCTGTGAATTTTCACGTGACAGCTGTATGTACTCTCTAAATTTTGAGTAATGGCATTTCAACTCAAATAGAGCTATCAAGTACATCTGACACATTAACACTCCTCATGCAAAAAAATAATGAATTTTCCAGTTTCGATGGATTTCGCTAAAGTGATTATTTTCTTCAATGATTAGCCTGCATTAGACATTTGCTGTTGGCACTGAAATGATTCTTACCTTTTTGGATATGCATTCAAGGTTATTAAATGACTTGTGCTGTTTCTCTGTGAATGGAAACACTCATGACATGGCAGATTAGAATTGTTGACTAAATTTGATATGCCCTAAGTGGTGGTTCCATCTGTTCATGGAGTGCTCTGCATGTTACAGAGCAGCCTCCCTGCACCATGTTGCTACTTCTGACAAGCAGTAAGCCTCCTGGGTGTGCTGGCTGCCCACAGCAGGGGCGGTTTCCCGTGGAGGGAAGGTGGTTCTTCTTTCTCACTGGGTCTCCTCTTCCAGGGTGTCTGTAATAGAGAGTTCCGAGAGATCCTGAGCTCTGTGAAGGGTGTTGTTAGGTCACAGTTCTTAGGTGCAGGACTCCCGGAGCCTCTGAATAAACAAGAGGACACAAGCTGTGTGAGTGGCCAGGCCAGGCTCCAGGATCTGAGGTTCCATTTAGACAACAAAACTCAAGATTTCCAAGTCCTCCGGGCTAATGTATGTAAGGTGTCCCAAAATCCTTTCTCTGTTACTTCATATTTTTTCAACTGTGGTATTAAACTAGCATAGCCTGTTAATGTGACTTAGTATTCAAGTCTAAAAGTATTTAAGCAAAAATTGACCATCATAGTATTTAACTGGGGATCATTTTGTATACTAAATTAACACTCTGCTGGCTGTGTAACATTAAATGTCTGAATTTTATAAACCTAGTTTTTGTTTTCCTTTTAAGATACATTTCCTTTCATGACCAAATGACACATGACGTTGTGTACAAGCAATTGATTTACTCTTTCTCAGATTCCAAAATCACTGAGAAGATTTCTGTGTTCTTCCTTTCTGTTCTTTGTGTAGGTTTGACTTCATGATTATAGTGAACCTCATTCCACAGTCACTTAGTGATTCTGAGTTTGTTTAAAGTTGAGACCTCGGGTAAAGTGAACAGCTGGAATGATTTGACTGTTACTATCCCAAAGTAACTTGAATTGACAATGTTAGTATTGTCTTGAGTTTTATCTCCAAAACTGAATTTGCAAATTAATAGGTACCTGATTACTTATTGCCCTAGTTAGAATCAGTTTAGCTTATGATACTGTATGTAGTAATTAAAAACAATCCAATTGATTAATTTCATAATTTAAGAAAAAATACCCATTAAAGCTGGACAGTTGGGTATTTAGATACCTGTTTGTTTGTGTAAATGTCTGTGAAGGTTCTTTTGGTTACTTCTGAGTCACATAACTGACTATCATTAAGATTATAATTGTTACATTATCTATATCAAGAGCTCTGTTTGCATTTTATAAATTTTATCTAAATTGAGAATATTTTTGGTCTTCATCTTCAAGTACACGTGGAAGTTCACATTTTAGCATATTACAGAAAAAACCTTCTGAAATTTTTAAAGTATTTTTTCCTGTACAAAAGGTATATTTTGTAAAACATTTAATAACTGAATTGAAATTTAACTTTTATGTAGGTAAAATATTTAACTGAATTTTAATTCAAATGTTCTTATATTAATTGTAGTAACTGAAATTATAATGGGAAGGGGAGATGTTTATGTAATTCATGAGTACGTCTAGTGCCAATCCAAAAGTAGAGCCCAGTGGCCTGCCTAGGTGTGTGTTGCGCGTACTCCAGAGCGGGGTAAGTCCCACACTCAGGCACAGTCTGGAGAGGAAGCAGGAGCTGCCCCAGACCGGGCGTCACGGCAGCGAGCTCAGCAGCACAGCAGCCACGTTGGGGGTGAGAGTGAAGTTCTGGAGTTCTCTTTTACAAAGTGGGATCAAAAGTAACAGTGATTGCTACTGCTGAGTTCCATCCACTGGAAAGGCAGACACGTGAAAACATGAGTCTGTCCTCATCCTCCATATTCACCAGATCTGGCGCCATGCAACTCTGCCTCTTCCCCAGGTCAAAATGACCCTGAAAGGTAGATACTGTGAATGAATTCAGGACCACAAGGTGGCTACAGCAGCTCAACTAAAGACACACAAAAAAACTTCCACACCTGCCTCAGAAAATGATGAGAACAATGTATAAATATGCTTGAAGCAAGGGGAGTATTTTGAGGGGGATTGATGGCAATGTGTCTTTTACTGTTAGTTTTTTTAAAATTTAATAACTTACTATATTTTTCAGTCATAATTTGTATAATAGCCATAAACTGTAAACAGTCTAAATATCCATTAAAAAGAGGGTGTGTCTCTCAGTGAGTTTGTTGTTTATGTACAGGAATGCTATTGATTTCTGAGTGTTAACTTTGTATCTGGCTACGCAATTGAATTTGGTTATTAAATCTAGAAATCTTTCGGTAGAGTTTTGTGGGTCTCCTAGTAGAGTATCATGTCATCTGCAGATAATGATGATTTCACTTCCTCCTTTCCTATCCTTCTTCCTTTTATTTCTGTCTCTTGTCTGATTGCTCTGGCTAATGTTTCCAGTACTATACTGAATAGGAGTGGTGATAGTAGACATCCTTGTTTCTGCTTTTAAAGTGAAACCTTTCAGTTTTTGTCCATGTAGTATAATGTTGGCTGTTGGTTTGTCATGGATAGCTTTTATCAGATTGAGGTAAAGACTTACCTATTCCTATATTCTGGAGGGTTTTTATCATGAATGATTGTTGGACTTTATCAAAAACATTTTCTGCACCTATTGAGATAACCATGTGACTCACATAC